AATGTATTGTTTCAAATTTCATTTATATATTCACTTTGTGTGTATGACTTTAAGGATCATCAGGTTGACATATCACACAACTATCTTCTGAAAGTATGGTTCAGGCTGTAAAACAACCTGGGGAAGGAGAAAAGCCCAGAGATCAGTTATTCATTTTCCTAGTGGGCCACCCTCTGTCCTGACCTTTGGAGTAACCCAATAATGTTACTATTGTCTTATGTTTTATTAGTTGAAAATAGAGGTTACCACCATCAAGAAGAGGCTGTATTTTAAAGGATCCTTTAACTGAAATCTCCTTTGTATTATTAGGATGTGCAGCGTGAACTACAATTAATTTAGAAAGTGAGAAGATGAGTGCGTTACTAGCCAGTGGATGTGGACTCTTTGGACCACAATGGCCATTTGATGACATCCCAAAGGCAGTCACAAGGTAAGAAAGGATTTCCTGAGAACTCTTGAAGCAAATCAGGGTCAACATTTCAAAACAATGCATTTGGAGAATAAAAAACGTAATTCTTACACCTCTGCTCTATGTTGGTGTGTGAATAAAATATAGAACAATCAATATTGCTAAAAGTAATAAATTTCAACATACGTCTTTCCTGTATTAAAACATTCCCATGGCTCCTGATGCCTGAAGAAAATTTCCAAATATCACACTTATGTATAGCACCCCCCTACAACTTTGTTCCTCCTGGCTTTTCTAAACTAATTTTTCACTGCTCTCCCACTCAAACCTAATTCTCTAACCATCTCAAATAAATATACAATGGTGTTTTGTGCATTTGTGACTTTGTATATACTATTTTCCTTTCCCTAGAATTTCACTATTATGCTCTCTACTAAGCAGATTTCTATTCATCCTCTGGAAGCCCTTCTCTGAGCCTCAATCTACCATGACGAGTGGATTATTTCCTCCTTTGTGCCAACATTCTACTTGCTTCATGCTGCCATTATAACAATCATCAATATGTCCATTATTTGTTTACATACCTAGTGATTTTGTGTTCCTTGAAGGCTGTCATTGCATCTGATATAGCAGCAGGTACCAATTATTAGCTTTTACTACGTGCCAAGCACTATGATTAGAAATGTAATTGGAAATCCACAATTTATACCTTTTGAATCACTCTTACTGGAGAAGATAGAGCTATAAAAAATCATGTCCATAAAGGACAGTAAGTACAGTAGGAGAACAGAGAAGGCACTTTAAGTGTGGAGCTTAGGGAAAGCTTCCAAGAGGAACAGATTTTGCAGAACAAGCAAACTGTGGAATCAACAGGAAGGCTTCCCGAAGCAGTGTAGCCCGAATCGTATAGCTCCAAAGCTATATTGGTGCATTGCTGGGATTATCTGTATTTAAATTATTCTGTCATAGGTGGTTCTATAACCACTTTGTATTCCTTCTATCCTCATGTTAAATTATAAGATCATGAAGCAATAATAACTTTTCTCAGCATTTTATTTTTTTAATCCTCACCCAAGGATATTTTTTCCTTTGGGGAGGAACGAGGGGAGGGAGGGAGGGAGGGAAGGAAAGAGAAACATTGACATGAGAGACACATGGATTGTTTGCCTCCCGCAATCTGCCCCTACCTGGGCCAGGGATGGAGCCTGAAACCGAGGTACATACCCTTGACTGGGAATTGAACCCATGACCCTTGGTCCATGGGCCAGCGCTCTAACTACTGAGAAAACTGGCCAGGGCTCTCAGTACTTTTAAACTCCTCACTGCTGCTATCAGATTTTAAAATAAAAGTTGACAAAGTTAAAGATGAAGTTGAAATAATAACTTCTACCATTTTCGTGTAATTGTACAGTCTACAATACTCTCACAAAATATTAACTCATTTTTCTTCACCTCAATCTTTTACAGTGGGTATTTATCCCAGTTTTTCTGAATGAAGACACAGAGAGCTTAATTGACTTGTCCAGAGTTACATGATTAATATATGGTTTTCAGACACCTAGTTGATAACAATTACTAGCATTTAAGTGATAATCACCCTGGTATAAATTTATATATGCCCTGTCATTGGACATTACAATAATTCTAACACCTATGAATTATTATCCTTATTTTATAGATGATAAAACTGAGGCTTATAATGTTTAGCTTGCTCAAGATCAAGAGTAAATAAATGGTGGATCAGGTACTCTCACAGAATTCTGATTCCAGAATTTAGGCTCCTAGCCACCACCAAGACTGTTCCAAGTGTTGAATAGGTTGATTTCTTCATTCAAACAATTTATAACCCATTGGGAAGGAGTGGGAAGAAGAGAGAAATGCTAAATTAATACCTATAAAATTATTACAGAATGATAATGTCTTCTGAACTTTTTAGTTTATGTTAGAAGTTATTTAATTTCATTATATTATATCTAAGCATGAATTTCTCTTGATTATCCTGCTTAGGATTCATGTCATTGATTAACTCAGGATATTACTCAGTCCTTAAAGTACTGTCTTATCTCTATTCTATTTTTTTTTTCTAGAAGGCTTATGGCCCCTTAAATGTTATCCTTTCTATCCCTTAACCTCTTCTATTTATAGTCTTTTTCTCTTTATCTCTTTGTGTTATTTCCTCATATTATTCACAAATTTTATCTTCAATGATATTTAACTTGATATTTAATTCACCCACTTAATTTACTACTTTTTACCTTGTTTGTTATAGTCTTTAAAACAACCACATTGAGGAATAATTTACATACAAAAAAATGAGTGTGTTTAGTATATAGCTTGATCAGCTTTGACAAATGTGTCCAAGTCCCCCCGCCCCCCACCCAGCCTGACTTCAGTCTCTCCTCCATCTGTGCCAGGAACAAGCCACCACTGTCTGCTCTCTGTCCTAATAGATTAGTTTTTATATTCAAGAACTTCTTATATGAGGAATCAAACCATGATTCCTTTATCATATTTTTTTAGATTCATTCATGTTGTTGCATACATCAGTAGTTTGGGATTTATTTTTTTAATGCTGAGGAGTATCCATTATGTGGATATCCCACAATTTATATCAATTGACTTTGATGTACATTTGGGTTGTTTCCAGTTTTTTGTTATTATGCCTAAAGTTGCCATGAACATTTGTGAACACCAGTGTTTGCGGACGTATGTTTTCATTTCTCTTAGGTAAATATCTAGGGTCATGTGGTAAATGCATGCTTAGCTGCTGAAGAAACTGCCCAACTATTTTCCCTGATGGTTGCATCATTTGCATTCTCACAAGCAATGCAGAACTCTAGTTGCTCCACATTCTTGCCAACATTTGGAATTGTCTGATGTTTTAATAGTAATCATTATAGTGAGTGTTGTGGTAGAAAAAAATAAGGAACTCCCCTCCCCCCAAGAAAGATGTTCACATCCTAATCCCTCCTACCCTCTTGCTACAGACTGACAGCCTCTCTAGTTCAGTCCCAGTTTCAGTTTATCTCTTTGTTGCTCTAGTTTTCAGTTCTTTCTTTCTGACTCTGGCATTGCCTCTAAATTACTTGTTGTTGTTGTTTTAAGCTCAGGTATGCTTTTTCTTTTATTCCAAATGTTTATTTAGTACCAACTATAGGAAGGATGCTGTTCTAGGCATATAGAAGTGAACAAAACAAAATCTCCAATCTCAGGGAGCTTACATTGCAAGAATGCTTGTTATCTGATCTATGCATTTTAATGGATATTGTGGTCTGGCAACTTTAGGTATTGTGGGAGTTTTACAGTAACCTAGCCATGCATGATAATTTCTAAAATGTTATTATCAGTTTTAAGAATGAATATTTGGGAATAAACATAAAATAGGAAGGACAGTTAGGGAAGAATTGCAGTATTCCAAGTAAGGTATAGTTAGACTAGTAGGTAGAAGTGAGGATGAGGAAGAAAAGCTGGATTGCAGGAATATTTTGAAGGAAGAAATGGTAGGATTTTGTCATAGTTAATAAGAGGGCATGATGCCAGGGAAGATGTCAAAGTTAGCTCCAATTATTCTTCCCTGGAAGACTGAAAGAATGACTACAACACTGACATAAATAGTGCTGCTGGTGGGAATGGATGGGCAGTTAAAAATAATATCTGTTAGTGGATGTCTATATATTTAATATTCCATGTAGGACATTGCAGTAACTTATTGTATTTGAAAAAGGCAGTGGAATAACTATGTAGGCATGGTCGTAAGTGACTGAAAATAAAGAACTAGAAGAGAGTGACAGGATTACAGGTGAGGAGAGGGAGTGGAGGTACCTTCTTTGTATCCATAGAGCCTGGTTTGGTGTTTGGCACAAAGCTGGGCCTCAATATTTATTGGATAAATTAACGTGAGTCATTTGCATAGATGTGACAGCTGAGCGCATAGGATTAGATGTAAAAGCAGACATTTACTTGCTAAGGTTCAAGGACATTCTTTCTTCCCTTTTGTTTGCACTGCCAACAGTTGCCTGCCTAAAAGGAAACAATTCTCAAAGTACCTTGATTTAGGGACAATTACTGGAAGAGGTGGAGTTTCACGCGCTGTTTTTGTGGGGGGTGAGGGGAGGGGATGGAAGGGGGAGTCATTCTAGATCTAAGATACCAAAGTGGAATGTAAAGATTTGACTCTGAATCAAAGTTGCTGTTCATTTTGCACAAGTGTCAGACTATCTGCATTAGTTAGAGCTTCTCAGTGCAGTCCCTTTTCCACAATGTCCCCCCAAAATACAAACCTCACTTGACAGGTTATTAACCGAGGGCTGACTGCTCTATAGCATTCTCTAAAGAAAAGGTTAGTGGATTCCCTTTCCCTCTTTTCAAACTGAGGACCTGAAATTCTAATTTGAATAACTGGGATGATTCTTTTTCATTCCCATCTTCAAGGGGGCGGTGACCAGGACGCCACACCTTAACCATTGACGCCCAAATCTGCTGCAAAAAATCTTCACGCTCTGCTCCAGGGTGCGTCAGATTAGTCCCAGGGTCCAGCAGCTCTCACTGCGCCTGCGCCTAATGGCGCTGCAGAGCGGGCGCAGGCGCCTTGAGGCGGAGCTGGGTGAGGCGGGGCTGACTGCGGCGTCTACGAGCCGGTCTGGGCGGCCCCAGTGTTTTGGGGCCTGGGAACTGTGGGAGGAGCCGGCGGCCTCACCTTGGTAACCACATCACTGCCCCGGCTCGGTCTTGCAGGCCTCCGCACTGTCATCGCCTTTGGGGGCCCGGGGACTTTGGCCACCGTTTCCGGAAGTAGCTCTGCAGGCCTCTTTGAGGCACCCCCATCCTCCCCACGCCGTCGCCGCCGCCGCCATGCAGGGGGAGGACGCCAGATACCTCAAAAGGTGATTCCCCAAGGCACAGCCCCGCCCTCCTGGCCGGGGACCCTGAGATATTCTTAGAGGTTTGGGGGTTGGCCTTGAGGTGTCACTGGGCAAAGCGAGACCTACGCTCCGCAGAGAGGTGGACACGGGAGGAGTCCCAGGAAGGGAAGGGAAGGTGCATTGGGTGAGAGGTTCTGCAGCCGCCCACCTGCCTCCGAGGGGCCTGGAGGACCTGGCGGCGTCCCCGATTTCGGGGGGAGGGGCTCAGGACGAGGAAACCCGGCTTCCCGTGCCCCCCTCCCCCTTTCCCATTCCAGTTCGGCATTTCCCCTAACAGGGCAATCCCGTGGGGGCCTGGAGATGAGGTCTCCTGGCGCTTATGCCCCCCGTCTCCAGTGTGGGGTTCCCTGCCCTCGGGTTCTGACGTGATGAAGGGGAGACAAGTGGTGGCTTTTCGCTGACGGGAGGCTGGGCTGAGAGGTTGCTCTCCAGCCTGTGTCTGCTTTCCTCCTCAGCTTCATCCCTTTGACTGCCATGTGTGTGTACCGTGTCCTTTTTATAGGATCGTAATTATCAAGAGCTTCGTCCAGGAGCTTGACATGGAACAGGCCGTGATTATTTTAATTTTAAAATATTTGTAGTATCAGTGACTCTTTAAAGAACACTGTAAACCTGTGGGATTATTGGTTTGACTCCTGCCAAAGATAAGATCATCCCTGATGAATAGGATACCTCTCAGTGGACCAAGAGTTACTAGTGATCCAATAGGAAAAAAAAAACCTTAATCAGGACGCTCCATTCTTAAAGTCCCTGTCACATGTATTCTTTTGGACACAGTTTCCTTATATAAAAACGGAAAGCAGGGCAAATATTACCTTATGAGAGGACCAAATGTGCAAATGCTTTTAAGAGATAAAACATGCATGTAAGGTGGTGGTATTGTTATAAGTTACAACATGCTTTTACTGAGTATATTTACCCTGGCGTGGCAGGGCCCTTACCATTACAGAAAGATCTCATCTTAAAAGGGATTCAAACAGTTGTATAGTCAACCAACCAATCAGCTAACTGTACTGTCTTTGCAGGACTGGGGCATCTATTGCCTGCCCTTCTCATTTTTTAAAAGGATACGTAGTCATAACAAGTATTTATTTCCTCATTGATTACATTGATCTTTTCAATTGAAAATTTGGTGACAGAAGAAAACAAATTCTTTGAACTTTAATATAAGGTTGTTCTAGAGCAGTGGTTCTCAACCTTCCTAAGGCCGCGACCCTTTAATACAGTTCCTCATGTTGTGGTGACCCCCCCAACCATAAAATTATTTTCATTGCTACTTCATAACTGTAATTTTGCTACTGTTATGAATCGTCATGTAAATATCTGATATGCAGGATGTATTTTCATTGTTACAAATTGAACATAATTAAAGCATAGTGATTAATCACAAAGACAATATGTAATTATATATGTGTTTTCCGATGGTCTTAGGCGAAAGGGTTGTTCGACCCACAAAGGGGTCGCGACCCACAGGTTGAGAACCGCTGTTCTAGAGCAAAGAGCCACTGTTACAGCATTAGCTTATTTTCATGTAATAATACAGTTGTGCCAGAAGGTAGTTTTTTTTAGGCATACTTACTAGTATAATTCCACATCAGGGCACATGCCCCGGTTGCAGGCTCCATCCCCAGTCGAGGGTGTGCAGGAGGCAGCTGGTCAATGATTCTCTCTCATCATTGATGTTTCTCTCTCCCTCTCCTTTCCTCTCTGAAATAAAAAAAAAATATATATATATATATGAATTTTAAAGTATTAGATGAATGAGACATACTTTCTCTGCCTTTATGGTGCTTAAAATGTAGCAAAGAATACATATTTTGAACTGTATATTACCAGAAGTAATTATTTTATTATGTTTATGAGAAGTGATATAAGTATATGATAAATATGTGGTCTGTGTAAAGCTTTTTTCACACAGTATAAATACTCAGCATTTATCCATGTTTCGCATTCATCAATACAGTACTTCATTTCTTTTAATAGCTGAATAATAACATATTTTATGGATACAGCATATTTTGTTTATCCATTCATCTGTTGATGGACATTTAGGCTGTTTCCATCTATTGGCTATTATGAATAAAGCTACTATGAACATTCCAGTACTAGTTTTTGTTTAAACATCTGTTCTCACTCTTTCGGTATATTTTCAGTTGTTGCTGGGTCATATGCTAATTACATGTTTAACTTCTTGAGGAACTACTGAACTGTTTTTCACAGTGGCTGCACCATTTTACTTTCCCACCAGCAATGTATGCGGGTTCCAATTCTTCACATCCTTGCTAGCACTTAACTTATTTTTTTTAAATGTGGCTATTCTGATGGATGTGAAGTGATATTGTAGTTTTGGTTTACATTTCCCTAATTACTAGTGACATTGAACATCTTTTCATATACTTCTTGGCCATTCTCTGCCTTCTTTGGAGGAAAAAATCTTTCTATTTTCTGGAAATTGGTTCCCTATCATATCAATGATTTGCAAATATTTTATCCCACTCTGTGGATTGTGTTTTCACTCTCTTCATAGTGTCCGTTCATATGCAAAAGTTTTAAATTCATATTTTGTTTAGTTGCTTTTGCTTTTTTAAAAAGCTTTACATGATCATTGATTTTTAAATTCTAGTCCCTCCCTCCCCTTTGTCAACCCATCAACTCATTCTCTATATCTATGGGTCTGTTTCTGTTTCTGTTTTTGTTTTTACTTATTTTGTATTTTTAGATTTTTATTGCTGATATGTACCACATCTTCTTTATCCATTCATCTATTGATGGAAACCTAGGTTGCTTCCATATCTTGGATATTGTACATAATGCTGCAGTGAACATAGGGGTGCATATATCTAGTGTTTTTATTTCCTTCAGACAAATACCCAAAAGTGGAATTGCTGGATAATATAGCAGTTCTATTTTTAAGTTTTTGAGGAATTACCATACTATTTTCCATAGTAGCTGCACTAATTTACAACAGTGTATGAGGGTTTCCTTTTCTCCTCATCCTTGTCAGCACTTGTTATTTGTTGATAGCACTCTGACAGGTGTGAGGTGATACCTCATTGTAGTTTTGATTTGAATTTCCCTGATGATTAGTGATGTTTAGCATCTTTTCATGTCTGTTGGCCATCTGTATGTCCTCTTTGGAGAAATGTCTATTCCAGTCCTCTACCCATTTTTAAAATTGGATTGTTTGTTTTTTGGTGTTCAGTTGTATGAGTTCCTTATATATTTTGGATATTAACCCCTTGTTGGTGTATCATTTGTGAATGTCTTCTCCCATTTAGTAGGTTGTCTTTTTTTTTTCCCTAGAATGCAAAACCAGCTTTAATAGGTTGTAGAAAAAGAGTTCAAAGATAAGGAGATTTATTCAGTTCAACCCATAACATTTGAAAAAGTAAATAGGATTTCAAGATAATTTTATTCTTCCAATTTTTATTTATTTTTAATTTTTGAAACATCTTTATTTTTCAAAGTATTACATATGTCCTCCTCTTCCCCCCATTGACCTCTTCTAGCCCACCCCAGGCCTTCACCACCCTATTGTCTGTGTCCATGTGTTATTGATATATTCATGCGAGTTCTTTGGTTGATCTTTTCCCACCCACCCTCCCCCACCTTCCCTCTGAGGTTTAACAGTCTGTTCCATGCTTCTATGTCTCTGGATCTATTTTGTTCATCAATTTCTTTTGTTTATTAGATTCCACATGAGTGAGATCATGTGCTATTTATCTTTATGACTGTCTTATTTCACTTAGCATAATACTCTTCAAGTCCATCCATGCTGTTGCCAATGATGTCTTTTCATTTTGTTGATGGTTTTCTTCACTGTACAAAGCTTTAGTTTAATGTAGTTCCATTTGTTTATTGTTTATTTTTTGTTTCCCTTGCCCAAGGAGACATATCCAAAAAGATATTGCTAAGAGCGATGTTGAAGTTTACTGCCCATGTTTTCTTCTAGGAGTTTTATGATATTAGGTGTTACATTTAAGTCTTTAATCCATTCTGAGTTTATTTTTGTGTAAGGTATAAGAAAGTGGTCCAATTTAATTTTTATCATGTATCTGTCCAGTTTTTCCAACATCACTTAAGAGACTGTCTTTACCCCATTGTATGTTCTTGCCTCCTTTGTCATAGATAAATTGACCATATAAGTGAGAATTTTCTATTCTCTGGGCTCTGTATTCTATTCCATATATCTATATGTCTGTTTTTATGCCAGTACCATACTGTTTTGATTCTAATAAATGATCAAGGTATAGCCTTCCATTTATTTGTGTCTTCTTCGGTTCTTCAGTGTCTTATAATTTTCAAAGTATAAGTTTTTCACCTCTGTGGTTAAATTTATTCCTAGGTATTTTATGCTTTTTGATGCAGTTTTAAATAGAATTGTTTTCTTAAATTCTCCTTCTGATAGGTCATTATTGATATATAGAAACAATATATTTCTGTATATTGATTCTGTATCCTGCAATTTTACTGAATTCATTCATTAGTTCTAATAGGGTATTATTGGGTTTTTTGGGGGAAGGGATGTCTTTAGGGTTTTGGTTGCTTTTGATGTCATTATTTAAGAAACCATTCTCAAATCCAAGGTCATGAAGTTTTGCCCCTATGTTTTCTTCTAAGAGTTTTTTAGGTTTGGATTTTAAATTTACGTGATCCATTTTGAGTTAATTATGTGCTGTGCAACAAGGGTTTAATTTCATTATTTTATATGCCCAGTGTCTTGGCACATTTGTTAAAGGGATTGTTCTTTCCCCCAATGAAAGGTTGTCACCTTTGTTGAAATCAATCGACTATATATATAGGAGTTTATTTCTCGACTCAGTTCTATTCCATTGATCTATGTGTCTACCTTTCTGCTAGTACTTCACTATTTTGATTACTGTAGCCTTTGTAGTACATTTTGAAATTGGAAAATGTGAGTCTTCCAACTTTGTTTTTCTTTTACAAGATTGTTTTGGCTACTCAGTATCCCTTGTGTTTCCACATGGATTTTATTATCTCTTTTCCATTTCTGTAAAAAAAGCTTTGAGAATTTGATAGTGGTTATATTGAATCTGTAGATCACTTTGGGAATGTTGCCATTTTATGTGAATCTGATTTAAATGCATGTTAACCCAGCTCACTTGTTTTTGGAACTAGAACCTAGATAAGAACCATGGGCATTTTATGAGTTTTTAATCTATCTATGCCTATTTTTATTTTACATTGCAGGAAAGTTAAAGGAGGAAATATTGATGTACATCCATCAGAAAAAGCACTCATTGTTCAATATGAAGTGGAAGCTACCATTCTTGGAGAAATGGGGGATCCCATGTTGGGAGAACGAAAAGAATGCCAAAAAATGTAAGTTTTCTTTCTTTGTGTACATTTTGAAAGTAGTGGACCTTATACAAACTTTGTAGAAATCTGATATTATTTAAATCTGCATAGATGATAAATCTTTATGGCATTCTTCTAGACATACTTCATTTTAGTGAAGCAGAGACAACATTAAACTATAGATGCAGATATATTTAGAGAAAATCATGTCTATGTACATAATGGGAACCTACTAAAAAATACCTATTCTGATTTATTCCATTTAGTAAATGCATATAATAAAATATAAGCTACAACTTGTGAAATCAATTTTAAGATATGTTTATGTGGGACTTTTTAGCTTAATTTAGGAAATTTGTATTTTCGGAGATCCTGTGTTCTTCCTTCTTCCCTGGAATTTCTGAAAGTAGTATGACTTCCAAAATTTCCAAATGGGGCGTGCACCTTGAATTCATCCCTTAAAAATCTAGCCCTCTAGAAGATCCTAATAAGACAAGCATTTTCTGACTCAACGTATTGAGCTTAAATCTTCCAATATCCTACACCCTTTTCTTTCTGCATTTGTAATTCTTTGAGGACCTCCTGGGGAACTGGCCTCTTTCATCAGTCTGCAGTTGTGCTGGTAATGATCTTGAATTCCTTCCATAGTTTTGTGGAAGTAAAGAAGGTCTGAGATTACCTAGTTTTCTCCCCCAGTCTTCTTCCCTCCATAAAAATTTTGGTTTGGGAAGTAGTTAAAAAGAATTTTAGTGTGTTTTGGTGGTATTAAGTGTATTCAGACTGCTAGGAGTGCATGTGATAGTATTTATAACACTGAAAAGCACTGCATTTTTTCTGTATAGCAGTGGTTCTCAACTGGTTCTGATCCACCCCCCCACCCTCCCACCCCTGTTCCGGAGGTGACATTTGGCAATACCTGAAGACATTTGGGTTGTCATAACTAGAGGGGCGCTAAGGGAATTTAATGGCTAGAGGCCAGGGTGCTGCTAAGGAATCTATAATGCACAAAATAGCAACCTACAAACAAAGAACTATTTGGCCCAACATTTTGATAGTGCTGTAATTGGGAAACTTTGGTGTACAACAGCCGAAAGAGTAGCTGCCTAGTCTATTAATGTTCCTAATTTGTCTTCTTCTTGGGTTAGAAGGAGACTAAGTCACACACTGAATTCATTAAAAATAACTGAGTCTTTGGATAATCTGCTAGATTGAAGAGATACACACTTGCATACACACATACACTGTAAATCCTAACTCACATGCTCACACGTTTTTCTGTTTTCTTACACCTTTTCTCTTCCATTTGTGTGCCTGTGATTGCTGCCTGAGTTTTGTACATTGTGAAAAATCCTTTGAGATCTTATTAATTTGCCAAAGACAAGCGAGCAGAGCAGAGTTTTTGTCTTTAGAACCTCCTACATCTGCATTTCATGAGAGAAATTTAGATTTTAGTTCTTGAGAATGCAGTCAGTAACCTTATCTACACTAATAAAAGCGAAACATGCAAATTGGTGTCACTCCACTACGCCCACCAGCCAATCAGGATGAGTATGCAAATTAACCCAACAAAGATGGTGGTTAATTTGCATATTCAGGCAAGGAGCGAAGACTGAAGATGACTGAAGACTGAAGAGGCTTGCCTTCTCTGCTGCGGCCAGAGCTAAGGCCTGGGTCCTGGGTCCCGAGTGCCAGAGGAAAACCAGTGCCGGCAGCCAGGGGAAGGAAGGCCTATTGCACGAATCTCTTCGTGCAACGGGCCTCTAGTTCAACTATAATTAAATGAGAATGTTGTGTTTGAAAATCCAAAGTTTTTCTAGACAAGGGATGCATTCACTAGGGACTCAGCCAGCTGGAAAGAATACTACCTACTGTTGTTGGAGTAAGTGAATTTAAACATCATTAAGGGGAAAACCCAAGGACCTCAATTTTGGAATACTCCACCCTGGTGCACACGATTTGGAGAGGAATCATGTTGTAGGACCAAAAGCAGAATGTGGTCTGTTGATAACTCAAGAGTTTTTATCAATGGCAACAGCTGGGGTGGAGGGGACACTCATAAAGATTGAGATAGGTATGAAGTGAAAATGTCGTTAAATTTGGGTAGTCAGTGCTATGGCCCAGGTCAAGAAGACTTGTATTTCAATCTTCTTTATTTGGCAAAGGAGTGTATAAGCCCATCTTTAAGAGAGTCCCAGTTTCTGAAAATTTCTTTATGAGAAACTGATGGTTATAGTCCAAAAATAATATGGGTATTTTTCTTGTGAGTTTTTGGTATTATTAATAGATATGGCTGCCTATGAAAATTCTCGTTTTTTATTATAGGAATAATCAGTAAACATACAGGTAACATTTTCTAAAAATTCTACCCCTATCTATTTTTTTCTTTGTCTTTTGTAATAAGGAAAGGATTTAGGAGAGACCTATACACTAAAAGAAGAAAACCTGTCTATTACTTTTAATGGAAAGAAGATGAATCAAATTGCTAATATATGTGTTGGTAAAAAATAGATCTAAAAAGAAATAGAAAAATCTGCTTTTTTAGATCAAGATACCACTGTACACCTATTAGAATGGGTAAAATCCAAAACACTGACAGGACCAAATGCTGGTGAGGATGTAAAGCAATAGGAACTCATTCATTGCTGGTAGAAGTATAAAGTGGTGCTTTGGAAGACAATTTGGCAGTTTCTTCTAAAGCTAAACATAAACTTACCATATGATCCAGCAGTTTTGCTCCTAGATATTAACCCACATGAGTTAGAAATTTATGTCTACAAAAACCTGCACATGAATGTGTATAACAGTTTTATTTATAATTGTCAACAGTTGGAGGCAACCAACATGTTTTTCAATTGACAAACAGATAAGCAAACATTGGTGTGTCCATACAATCAAGTATTATTCAGCACTAAAAAGAAACAGACTATCAAGTTATGAACAGACATGGGGGGATTTAAATGCATATTACTAAGTAAAAGAAGTCAGGCTTGAAAAGCTACATTCTGTATGATTCCAACTACATAACATTCTAGAAAAGGAAAAACTAAAGTAAAAAAATTGAGTTTATCAGGGTTTCAGGGGGTGGGAGAGGAAAGAATAGGTGGAGCACGGAGCATGTTTAGGGCAATAAAACTATGCTTTATGATACTATAATGGTGGACACAGGATGCATTTCTCAAAGCCCATAGAACTATACAACACAGTAAATCCTAATGTAAACTGTAGACCTAAATTGATAATGTATCAATATCAGTTCATCAGTTGTAACAAAGGTGGTAATAACAGAAAAAAACACAAAACTGTATTGGGGTGGTAGTGGGTGTATATATGGGAACTCTGTAATTTATGCACAATTTTTCTGTAAACCTGAAACTGCTCTAAAAAACAACTAGTAAGAAATTTTAAAAACACGTTTATAGTGTTCCTGTTGTGCCTCATCTTTATTGGATTTCTAGAAACAATCAAGATTTCGAAGTTCCTGATAAAATTAAACATGGAGAGGTCTTTTGAGAGTTTTTCTCTGAATGGACTCTCCTTTCTATCTCTGTCTTCTGGTGTGCAGTAAAACTATACAAAAATAGAATCAAGAATTTAAAAGGTAGGAATATAAACAACCAAAAATTTAAAAATAAAGGAACAGAGTACTGGTCTCTAATGTTGCAAACATTAGAAACCATTGTAGCAAATTTAAATATAAAAGGAATTTATTAAAAGCTATTAGGTAGTTTGTAGAATCCTATGAGGACCAGACTTAGGGATGACTATATAGCTGTGAGTAATTTCTAAATCACTCTACTGGACTTATTTCTAGAGAGATCATCTTCACCTGAATGATGATTGCACAGATGCTTAGTACAGAACCTTTTTCTGAGATTTCTGTCCCTGCTGCCTTCTAACACCTTGATGTCTCTCCAAATGTCGGCGGTCTTTACCAAGAAATAATTCTATATAATGGCTACTTTCTTATGTTTCTCTTTTTTTTAAATATATTTTATTGATTTTTCTACAGAGAGGAAGGGAGAGAGGCAGAGAGTTAGGAAACGTCGATGAGAGGGAAACATCGATCAGCTGCCTCCTACACACCCCTACTGGGGATGGGCCCACAACCAAGGTACATGCCCTTGACCGGAATCGAACCTGGGACCTTTCAGTCCGCAGGCCGATGCTCTATCCACTGAGCCAAACCGGTCAGGGCTGTTTCTCTTTTTTAATCTGAGCCTTGCGCAAACATATCTGCTTGAGTCTTCACCCTGCACCTAATTTTATGTTTTCATAGGTCTCCTTGGTGCCATAAATTCATGTAAATGGGCAATTGTTTCCAGACTCTGAATAACCTTTTTTACTTATCTTCCAATGAATCTCCTGGACTAAATTAAAAAGGAGAGAAAAGCTGGTTTATTTATTTTTATTAACATACTAACAAGTATAAAATGTTCTTCAGAATTCCTCATATAGGTCTTAAAATGCATCCTGCTTTTTTCTTCTTCCTTCTACTATATAATTTCCACGAGAAAAACTGAATCCGAAATAACCAATATTATGTCTTGTTCCTAACTGAAAAACATAAATGATTTCGTGACTATGGTCAGAAAGTGATTCACTCCTGGTAATATGGATTCTCACATCCAATGACTAAAGACTTTATATGTATTACATCAGAAGATTGTTTTAAAATTAGGTCTTCCAATATGCTCTTCTGCCTGGAAAGGCTGATGTAGGCTTTATGTTCCTTTTGTTATCTCATTTATCCAGCTCAAAGAAAATCATTGTTTTGCATTGTTCTAAGCCTAATTATATCTAACACTTCATTATATAAGAGTCTATGTAAGGTACATTTAAATGTTTTATAAGTTACTTAATGAAATATTATTTAAGTTACCACTTACTTTAATAATACTTGAATTGGAAAATTCTGATATGCTTGCAGCATTCGTCTTAAGAGTCTCAATGCCAACACAGATATAACTTCCCTGGCACGGAAGGTGGTTGAAGAATGTAAACTCATTCATCCCTCAAAACTAAATGAGGTAGAGCAGCTGTTGTACTATCTCCAGAACCGCCGAGATTCCTTGTCAGGAAAGGGTAAGTAGAAACTTCTGACTTTTTAATGCAAACTGGACTTGTTTGACTGTAGTTTGAGCTTTACATAAATGTGGAGGCTTTTTGTTTTGTTTTGTGTTTTGTTTTGCCAGTGCTGTGAATAAGTAAATGAAAGAATAGACAAACATATTTTTTTTATGTGTGTTGAGCTTTACATTAGACTAGAGACCCGGTGCATGGCATTCATTCACTGTGGGGGAGGGGGACGTTCCTCAGCCTGGCCTGTGCCCTCTCGCAGTCTGGGACCCCTCGCTCCTTACCACCTGCCTGCAGTGGAGGCGAGAGGCTCT